CCCGCCGCGAGCGCCTGCCCCTCCTCCATTGCTCTTCCAGTCTCCTTTTCCTCTACCTCGTGCCGGCGCCATCTTGCTTGATGCCGACACTATTCACACGGCTCGCTGCTGCCATGCGGCGCCCGGCAAAGAGAGAAGCAACCGTGGGGAGCACACAGATGATACCGAAACGTGAAGACAGGTATGATTCTATAATTGTTACGAGAAAAAATGGTATAACCGGGGGGGTAGGGGAAGGCATCACGCCCTTGGGCCGCTGCGAAACACGGACTTGCCAGCACACCGGCGTAACACGACACGCCGGAAAACACGGTAAGACACGGAACGGAACGCCCAGAGCTATGGCCGGAAAGGAGGACGAGTACGACTACCTCTTCAAGGGTGAGCCTGCTCCTTTAGCATCTTGTGTCCAACACGGAACCTGGTGGCACCACGACGACCTTCGGTCTCCCCCTTGTACGAGGTTGTTTCGACAGGTTTTGCCCGCCGCTTTGAGGATTCCGATGTTCTGCCCTGTGGTCGGGTGGGCAGCGGCAGGAGATGCCTGGAGAGCAGGACGTGGTTGCGCCACTTCAGATCCCTTGCTCTTTGAGCAGAGAGCAGAAGAGTTCCGTAAACGTTTTTTTTCGATACTGATTTTCTGGTGTTGTGTCGAAAATGAGAGAAACGGAGTAGAGAGGAACAGCGCCTGGTTTGTGGCGCAACAGAGACGCCGCAAACACGCCGGCGTTGTTCTTGATACTAGCCAGGAGAAGACACAGCAGCGCTGTGCGGTTGGGTCCCAGCAGGGCAATCGCCCACGAAGAAAGAAGCAGGCTGGGGTGGGAGTTCGCAGCGTCTGCTTTTTCCTTTGGCGCGTGGCCCGCCTCAGCCCTAGTAACTCTCGGGGTGTCCTGTTTGTTTCGTATCTTTTTCAAAACGGAAGTGTTTACCAAAACGAAGCCTTCTAACTTTTCTGTTGAGACTGGTGTGGGTGGTTCCTCACATCAAGCCGAGTAGACACTCTCACCACGACTTTTGCTTGCCGAACCACATGTGTGGCCCTTGCGCATCGCCACACCTAGTAGCATGGGTCACGTCTTGCGTGTTGCTTACTCGCAGCTGCGGTTTCCGGTGTGAAGCCATCCATGCACGGTCGGTGCGGTACATGCCACTCGTCCTAACAACGTCGCTGGTTCCTCACTGCCCACACTTCAAAAATCGCTGGTTCTCTCATTGGGAACCCGCGGGGGTGGGCAACGATAATGCATACGGAACAGAGCCCAGCAGCAGTACTATGTGGAGTTGGGCACCAACGAACGCTTTACCCAAGCCAGCTCTGCACCAGCAGCCCACTAAGTGTCGTTCGTGATCTGCAGTATGCACACGTACGTACATTCCAACATTCTGTCCTACAGTACTTGATGCTTGCGTCGCTCCATGTACGTACACGGATACCAATTCTGCACACACCCATGGGAACGCCTATTATGGTGTACAACCGCCGTTATGTTGGTCTGATCAATGTGTTGCGCTCCCTGTCGTCCTGCTCGTTGTTACGCTTCAACAAACAAACCGCCTGCACACACGTGCAACTTCTCCGCAGTTGTTCTGATCGGGGACTCGGGCGTCGGCAAGTCCAACCTCCTGTCGCGATTTACGCGCAACGAGTTCAACCTGGAGAGCAAGTCCACGATCGGGGTGGAATTCGCCACCAAGAGCATTCAGACGGAGGGGAAGACCATCAAGGCGCAGATTTGGGATACGGCGGGGCAGGAGCGCTACCGGTGAGGATGGTGTAGGTGTCGCGGGGGGGGGGGGGGGGGGGNGGGGGGGAGGGGGGTGCTGTGTGCCGCTAGCTATGCGTAGGAAGAGAAGGAAACGGGTCAGCTTCTTGTCCTCCTTGAGTTGTTGGGGTGGTCTGGCCGGGATGGACACTTTGGTTCGGGGGCACTTCATGCAGCGCGCTGTTGGATAGAGCCACTGACGGGAGACAGAGAGAGAGGGAGGTAACCAGTGAGGCTATACGTTCTTGCCGCTGATGCGGTGGAAACGCATCCGTTCACCGAGTTATTGGCGGACAAACACAACACGAATCACACACAACCAACGATCAATCAACAACAACCAACAGGGCTATCACTTCCGCGTACTACCGAGGGGCGGTTGGCGCGTTACTGGTGTACGATATCTCCAAGCACGTTACGTTCGAGAACGTCGAGCGGTGGCTGAAGGAGTTGCGCGACCACGCGGAGGCCAACATTGTGGTGATGCTCATTGGTAACAAGAGCGATCTCAGGTCAGCAGAAGATGCGCCGCGTTATTTTGATTGGCTTGTTTTCCTTCCTCTTTTGGAAATATGGTAAGTTGCTCCCGCTTATGTTATTTTGTTCATCGGGGTGAGTATGTGTCGTGTGTTTCGTTCCAACCTGGACTGGGTACCTTTTGCATGTCCGCGTGTTGCTGGCGTTACAATCATGTTTTTGATTTTTCCGGCGGTGGTGTCACATCGCGTGGCTTTTGAAACAGAAAATGCCCGGAATTTCCCAGGAGCTAGCGTGCAAGAGACGCGGCTTGCCCGCGAGCAGACGAACCTCACGCGGGCGCGGTGTTGTAAGTGTAGGTAGGAGATGAGCACACTGGTCGTTCCGTTTTTGTACATTTGCATCGGCATGCACGACTATGAGTACCCCCCCCCCCCCCCCCCCCCCCCCCCCCCCCCCCCCCCC